AGTGGTGTTGGAGGCAAAAAGAGAGGAAGCTGGGAAAACAAAAACAAAACCAAGCCAAGCAAATATCAGTGACTGGCTCTGTCTTCAGATAGATCTGGTTTGAATCTCAGCTCCAATACTTAGTAACAGGTAAAGTGTCTCACGTTTGTTCATGTGTTAAATGAGTTTATATTATCTGCTTTATGAGATGCTGTGGGGATTTGAGGTAAGGAGTTTGGATAACATACAAAGCTTCTGGCAGAAAACTTGTAGTGCTTCAGAAGCTTTCCACCACAGCGATGTGAATACAAAATGGCACAGACACTTCAGATTTTTTTTTTTTTAAGTTAAACATACCCTACCATATGATCCAGCCATTTCATTTCTAGGTAGTAACCCAAGAGCAATGAAAACATAGATTCATCCAAGCCCTCTTCACAAATGTTCCTAGCAGCTTTATTTTTAATATCCCCAAACTAGAAGTAACCCAAATGTTCATTAAGGGGTGAATGGTTAAAGAAATTGTGGTATATCTATAATGTGATATACTACTTGGAGGTAAAAAAAGAATGACCTATTGCTATGTACAACAACACAGATGATCTGAAAATAATTATGGCAATGGAAAGACGCCTGACAGAAAAGGACACATTAAGTATGATTCAATTTATATAAACTGGAAAGTGCAAACAAGAAACTAGGTCAGTGGACGCTGGAGACTGGAGTGGAAGAAGCTATAGATTATAAATGGGCATGAGGTAACTTTTGGGGGAATGGAAACATTTGGTATTTTGACTGGTGGTTTCATAGATATGCCTATATGTCAAAACTCATCAAATTGTACACTTTAAATATATGCAGTTAATTGTGTGTCAATTATACTTCAATAGTTTTCTATAAAAGGCAAAAAAGAAAAAGCCTGAAGTACACCAAAGTGATATTTTAGTGAGCAGAACATGGAAAGCTACAACAGAGTTATAATCCAGTTAAGTTCAGCATTTAAGGAAATGATTTTTTACTGCTTAGAGTTGAGGAGGATGGCAATTTAAATAAATATGGCTATTCCTCAGCTTGTTGTGCCTCACTTTATTGCAGTGGTCCCCAACCTTTTCAGCACCAGGGACCGGTTTCATGGAAGACAATTTTTTCAATAGACAGTTGGTGGGGAATGGTTTCAGGATGAAACTGTTCCACCTCAGATCATCAGGCATTAGATTCTTATAAGGAGCACACAATCTAGATTCCTTGCATGTCCAGTTTACAATAGGGTTCAGGCTCCTATGAGAATCGAATGCCGCAGCTAATCTGACAAGAGATGGAGCTCAGGCAGTGATGCTCATTTGCCCACAGCTCACCCCTGCTGTGAGGCTGAGTTACTAACAGGGAGGGTACCAGTTCCTGGGGATTGGAGACCCCTCCTTTACTGCACATTGCAGATATTGCTTTTATTTGTTGTTAATATTTTATTTTTACAAATTTAAGGTTTGTGGTAATCCTGTGTTAAACAAGTTTCTCAGTGCCATTTTTTCAGCAGCATGTGCCCACTTCATGTCTCTGTGTTAGATTTTGGTAATTCTCACAATATTTCAGACTTTTTCATTATTCTTGTATCTGTTATGGTGGTCTATGATCACGGGTCTTTGATGTTACTATTATAATTGTCTTAGGTTGCAATGAACTGTGTGCATGTAAGATGGCAAATTTAGTTAATAAATGTGTGGTTCTGACTGTTTCACCAACTGGCTGTTCTCCCAACTACCTCTCTCTCCTGGGGTCTCCCTATTTCCTGACCTAATATTGAAATTAGGCCAGTTAATAACCCTACAGTGGTCTGTAAGTGTTCAAGTGAAAGGAGCAGTCTCATGTCTCTCACTTTAAATCAAAAGCTAGAAATGATTCAGCTTAATGAGGAAGGCATGTCAAAAGCCGAGAACTAGGCCTCTTGAGCCAAACTGCTAGCCAAGATGTGAATGCAAAGGAAAAGTTCAAGAAAGAAATGAAAAGTGCTACTCCACTGAACACACAAATGATAAGAAAGCAAAAGTCTTATTGCTGACATGGAGAAAGCTTTGGTGGTCTAGAGAGAAGATCAAACCAGCCACAACATTCCTATTAGCCAGAGTCCAATCCAGAGCAAATTAACCCTATTCAATTCTATAAAGGCTGAGAGAGAGGTGAAGAATCTTCAGAAGAGAAATTTGAAACTAGCAGAGTTTGGTTCATGAGATTTAAAGAAAGAAGCTGTCTCCATAATACACCAGTACAAGGTGAAGCAGCAAGTGCTTATGCAGAAGCTGCAGAAAGTTATCTTGAAGATCTAGCCAAATCATTGATGCAGGTGGATACACTAAACAACAGATTTTCAATGTAAGTGAAACATCTTTATATTGGAAGAGGATGACATCTGGGACTTTCCCAGCTAGAGAGAAGTCAGTGCCTGGCTTTGAAGCTTCAAAGGACAGGATGACTCTCTTGTGAGAGTAAAACGTAGCTGGTGACTTTAAGTTGGAGCCAATGCTCATTTACTATTCTGAAAATTATAATGTTCCTTAAGAATTATAACAAATCTACTCTGCCTGTGTTTTAGAAATGGGAAAAGAAAATCTGATATTAGCATATTTGTTTATAGCATATTAAATATTTTAAGCCTACTGTTGAGAGCTACTGGCTCCACAAAAAGATTCCTTTCAAAATATTACTGTTTATTGTCAATACATCTGGTCATCCAACAGCTCTGATGAAGATATACAAGAAGGTTGATAATATCTGTTCTGCAGCCCATAGGTCAAGGAGTAATTTTCGCTTTCAAGTCTTCTTATTTAAGAAATACATTTTGTAAGGCTACATCTGTCAAACATAATGATTCCTCTGATGGATCTGGGCAAAGTAAATTGAAAAGCGCCTGGAGAGGATTCACCATTCTAGATGCTAGAAGAGTTGCTTCTGTGGATGAGTAAAAACAGTAGTTTTTTTTTTTGTTTTTTGAGATGGAATCTACTCCTGGACAAGATGCTCTGAATATTGCTGAAATGACAACGAAGAATTTAGAATATTTTGTAAATCTGACCGATAAAGCAGTGGCAGAGTTGAGAGGACTAACTTAATTTTGACAAAAATTCTACTATGGATAAAATCCTATCAAGCAGCATTCCATGGTACAGAGAAATGTTTTGTGAAAAGAAGAGTCAACTGACAGCAAACTTCATTATTGTCTTATTTTAAGCAATTGTCACACCAATTCCAACCTTCAGCAACTACTACCCTGATCCATGAGCTGCCCTCAACACTGAAGCAAGACTCTCCACCAGCAAAAAGATTAGGAGTTGCTGAAGGCTCAGATGATCATTATACTTTTTATTTTTAAAAAAGCATTAAACCACTTTCAAGGTAAGTTATGTATATATATTTTAAGACAAAATGCTATTGCATACCTAATGGACCTCAGTATGGTGTAAACATAACTTTCATATACATTGAGAAACCAAAAAAATTGTGTGACTCACTTTATTGCAATATTTGTGGTGGTTTGGAACCAAACCAGCAACATTTTTGAGGTATTCCTGTAGAAGGTAAGAAGTATCAACACAGAATTTCTGTTAAACTAGGAGAATATATTTTGTTCCTTTCAAAGAGAATGCAAAAGCTTTTGTTTTGTTTAGGAGATGCTGGAAATAGGAATATCTTGATCTAAAAATTATTGGGAATTATTCATAAAAAGCACACACACAGGTTATTATAAAATTTCAGCATCATATGACACTGGAAAAGCAATTTTGTTATGTTTCATAATTAACTTATTTATCTGTTCTCTTTACTAACTTTTTCATATGTTTGTAAAAACACAGTGGGTTTAGTTAGAAAAATAAGGCTGAAAATGTCCCACACTTAAACAATGAAAATAAAGTTTTAACAATATGACAAAACTATAGATTCCTCTACAACCACAAAAAGTTAATGAATTGGAAGCTAGAAAGATTATAATGTATGCTTTATGTTTTGGGTGTGTATGTGCGCACGCGTGCACAAAAAGCCAGTGTTCTAAGGTAATTTTGTGACTTCTTTCTAGTACAGAGTCCAAATTTCCAATGTCATTCCTGCTTGGATTTCATCCCACTATTTAACACAACAGACAGAAAATTACTGTAAGATTTGCAGTGAAACAGTGCCAGGTGTTTTAAAATATAAACGTTGCTTTCCTGGATATAAGTTACCATGTAAGTGGAATGAAATATTTAATCGCATGGCATAAATCTTTTGAAAGAGACTATCTGAGAGTTCCTTGGAAACAAATGATTACCATGTACTCCTAGACCAGCTCAAATCTGCCAGAGAACAGTTAGTTGCAAGGGTAAAACTTGCCTTAGTTTTGGTGCTTTGTTTTAAATGATTTCAACTAGTCTCAGTTATTTAAAAAAAATACATTTTTTTTTCTTTATGCCTATGCTAAGTTAGATTATCAAGTTAAAATAGAACTGCTCCAAAAATTCAGAATGAATGAATGGATGATGTTTAATAATAACTTTAATACATATTTTATAATTTTTGAACATACCGAAACATTTTGAAAGCAAATCCCCAATTCAAGTGGTAAGTTCACAAAAATCTAAATATTAAGGTTACAGATGGGACTAGCTTGACTCTGACTGAAGTAACAAATCTTATAAAATTGGTGGAGCTACCTTTTATAAAAATGACCACAAAATATGGTTGATTTACTAAGCATGTTAAGATAAAATAGCTAAGTGAAGCATATATTCCATATTTCTTTGTAAATATGTAGGTAGTATTATGTTTATTTTTTAACTGGTAAAGAGAGCATGTGATACCTAATTTGTCCAATGGTTTCAGTGAATCACAGCTATATAAAAGCACAGATTTTTAGAGCCAGAAGGAATTTACCTATCTTGACAATTATTGGTCTAGTTGAGAAAGAGGTATGAAAACTGGCTCCAAAACCAGATTCTTGACTTCTCCCTCCTTGTAAGATTTCCTAGGTCAGCATTCCCTTTCTTTGTTTCAGATTTTCTTTTTCTGAATTAATTCTTACTGTTTATTTACTTTTGAATAGTCTTCTAATCACTAGATTAAGATTTTGGTCATCTCCAAATATGATCGAAGTGAGCCTTTGAAGACAGTGCTTAAACCAACACCCAATTTGACCAAACGTGTAAGGCCACGACCTTCCATTGTCATGAATATCACGACGTTTCTTTAGCAAGGGCTTTGCTTAACAGGGCTGCAGTAAAAATCCTCCCTCTAAATCCTTGAGAAGTTCTAATTTGTAAAAATGCAAATTATCTGAAACCAAATGCTGTTTTCTTTTTCTTTATAGAGAGAAATTGGTCTGTTACAGCTAGTAAAGCGTTCTAACCCGATTGTCCCTCTAGAGGGAGACATAGTCCAGCTTTTATACGAATTGCCTCCGCATCTTTTACTGTCTCGTTCTTTTTCTGCAGGACCGTTGTTTGCTCTCAGCGGCAGTTGCTGGGGCTCACAGAACTGGCTGTTGGGAGAGAGAAGGGAGGCAACGTCGCTTGGTCCTCCCATCCCATTTTACTGCTTAACTCAACCTGGAGTCTCAGGACCTATCTCCTCCTGCATTCTCTCTGCACTATACGGGGGAGCCAAGTCACTCTGTATTCCCTGGACAGCCGGGCTGGCTGGAATAGGGTTCCAGAGTGGAGGGGGCTCTGCCCTTTATGGCGACTTTCTAAAAGATTAGCATCAGTGTCTTTTGACAGTACAGCGCCTGGGGTGGGACTCGGAGAGGAGGCTTTGCTTGCTAAACGGCTTCTTTCTCCTCTGGAAATCTGGATTTTTTTCCTCGGCCCCCTCCCCCCGCTCCTTTCTTTCTCCCCTACCGCCTTTAGCGAAGTGACACAGGCGATACCTGCTCGCTCGTGTTGGATGTGGCAACTCGCACTTTCTCGTTGGTGACGGTGCCAGGGCACTGCTGCCAGGGGGACATCGGCGGGTTTCCCTTCCTTCCAGCCCACGATGCCTAGAAGGGCAGCGGGTGGGCTGCGCGGGGCTCTGCCCTCAGCACTTCGAGGCGGGATTGAGGGGCTGAAGCTGGCCAGGAGTTGCTGCTAAGTGGACTCGAGTGGAAGGGGCAAAGTCTCCGCGAGGGCACCAGCGGGGACCTATTTGCGAGCAGTGGGCACAGGGGCACCCGCACCGAGGAACGCGAGCGTCTGGCGGGGGGACTTTGGCCGAGCTCAGAGCCTCTCCTTCCTGTCCCGAGCCTCCCAGCAACTCCGCCACGCTGGAGCCCGGGTACCTGCGAGAACCGGGGAACTCGAGAAGTGCGTGGCCGAGGCTGCTTTCCTGAAGGTGAATCATTCCGTCCAATTGCCTTTCCCTAGAGAACAAGAGGGAGGGCAAGAGAGAGGGAACGGAGGATGTGTGAATGTGTGTGTGTGTGAGAGGGAGAGACGACGTGAGGGGAGAGGAAAAGTCTTTACTAGGCGTTAAAAGCAAACAAATCAGAGATGGAACAAGAGCGGTAATTGCTACAAGACCGCCTTGATTCTTGCAGTCCAGGGAGCTGAGCGCACAGCGCGCATCCGGCGAGGACAGCGGGCGACCGCGGGCGCTGCCAAGGGCTGCGGGACGTTGGCTTTTCCTCAGTAAAGAAATCTTTTGATTACTTTGATACTGTGGAATAAAGAAGGGGGGAGAAGGATCAGGCTCACCTTCACCCGCTTTAGGGGGATTCCAGTTCGGATGTCAAGAGATTCCTGAGTCCTACTTGCCATCGGAGGAGGAAACACATCCACACACGCGCGCGCACACTTGCACGCTCAGGGCCACATTCACTCACACGCCGCCGTCCACGAGCACACAGCACCAGACTTCGGTTCCCTATGCCCCTGGATGGTGACGGCGGATTGGCATCTTGGAAGCGATGCGAGAGCGATAAGGCTGGCGCTGGCCCGCAAAACCTGCAGGAGCATCGCTAGGTGTTGCCGCCACCGGGAAGCGGGGCTGCAGGTAGGTGCGAGCCGCGCCTCGGGTCGCCGGCCAGCGCTGGGGACTGGAGAGGCAACTGCAGGACCGCGGTCCCGGAAGCTCCTGTGGGCACACGTCTCCCCTCCCCTTTCTCGGGGGGTCGGGGGCTGTAGGGGGATCGCCCGGGAAAGGCGAGAGGTGAGGGCAGATGCGGGTCCTTCGGCCGGCGTCTCCCTCGAGGGCAGTCAGGCAGGGTAGGGCGGAGTAGAGAGGCGCCGAGAGGGGATCGGAGCACGAGAGGAGGCTCCATGGAGCGGTGCCTCCCTCTCTGCCCCATTTCTTCTAATACAGCAAAAGACCAGGTCGAGGATTGAAGTGGGTTTTAATTGGATTCCTTACCCAGACCCATCCCGGCCAGTAACCATTTTGGACTCTTAATAAGGAGTTGGGGGTCTCGTTCGAGGGAATATCAATGGGATGTGTCAGGCCATCTTTCTGAAATCCCTACTTTTTGTCCACTTCTGATTAGTTAATTCTCAGGCCTGTTTGCAGAAGGTGGGTGTTTCAATGAGACTATTGATTTCTCCACAGCTAACTATTTTCATAAAGAACCAAGCTGATAATTTCCCGATCCTCATCTATGTAAGGTTTATTTGGATTTGGGATGGGGAGCTTTCTTACTGAATGAAAAAAAGCTTTTATAAAAGGCTACTACAAGGGAGCTTTAGTAATCGATCCTCTGATGAAGAGCGTTCAGAATAAGAATGGCTTCAGGAAACTAATGGTTTTTCATTTCTTTCCGGGTAGATGTCTCCCAGATCTTGCTAGTAGTAGCACTGGTTTTCTCCTAACTGCTTTGCCATCCCTTCCGCCTTCAATTCTAAAAGGCCAGGTGCCTACCAAGAAGTGTTTTCTTTAGGCTACTGATCTTCACTTATCAATGGGGAACGTGTTATTTCCAGAAACTGCCTTTGCAAAGGAAAGTTTGAGATCCGTTGCCCTATTTCTCCAAGAACTGCAGGTTGAGTTACCCAGTCTGAAAAGGACGAACCATAGACGCTCGCAGAGCCTTCCGGTGGACGCGAGGCTTCCCAATTGAGTATTCCAGGTCCTGACCGAGTGTTAAACAATTGCCTGAAGCGTTTGGAATCGAATGTGTTGTAATGTTACTACACCAGCTAGTCTCTCTTCACCTTTGCTGGGTGTTTGGCTTATGGCAATAAGAGAGAGAGAGGAAAAAAATCCTCGTTTTGTGAGTGTGAAATCCCCTCTTGTATTTTACAGAATGGTTCCTGGAGGAAAAACAAAACAAAACAAAACAAACCTTAAAAACCACAAAAAAGCAAACCCGTATGCAACTTTTACTCTGAAGTGTCCCCAAAAGCACTTAGTGTAGGAGGGTCTTTCACTCAGGACAGAATGAATTTCAATGACTATTGATTGGATCATAATTATCTGGTCCTTGTCTTCTCAACTAGATTGCTTTAAACATCAACATTCAGTTATCAACACTCTCAAACTGCTTTATTAGGCAATATAAGTTAAGACAAATGAGCAATTAATTTAAGATTTTTTCGTAAAGTTCTAAACCAAAATAGGAAAGGAGACTGAAAACACTTCTAAAGCTTTAAAAATCAGAGCATTAAGATTATTTGTATTTACCCCAGACTTTCCATGTTTGCGTTTGTACTCTCAGACGATTAATCATTTGCAATATCAAAATTGGCACCTAACATACTATATTTCAAATACAAGATCAGACATTTTTATCTCTTTCCTTACTTAATTTTGTTCTGGATCTTATCCTGAGTCAATTGTTTGAGTTGACCTTTCCTTTTAGAATCTTAATTTTTAAAGCCACCGGTAGGCACTTAAAGGCCATCAGTTACCACATTGGAGCTTATTTTATTTTCATTTTCCTAATTTTCAATAAAAACTTTGGATTGTATTATTTTTAGATAGTAAAAGTCTGTGAGGTCAACGTCACTGCCAACTGAATACTTAGGCACAGGGAGTCTTTCAAGAGGCAAATAGCTTTAGTGTGTTGTTTTATTCAGATTAGGCATTTTTTTTGATGTTAAAATCTTGATTCTGTTCTTGCCTTTAAAAAATTTAGTAGTTTAGGTTGCTGAATTTATATTTATGTACAGTGCTATGATATGTGTCTCTTAAAGATGAGTCCAAAATTATTGACACGAAAGCAAATGCCTATATAATGGTACAGGTTCTGCTAGAGGGGATTTAAGACTTCTAAGTATGTGTGATATTGCATTGGAAAAATATTAGCTATTTTAACAATGACAAATTGGAGAATGAACATTCATTGAGATGCCTATGGATTTGTGTCAAAATAGATACATATTGCTTAGAGACGGCAATATGGTATTTGCTAACCACCAAGTTATAAAATGTGATGACATGGCTGTTAAAAGATCTGTTTTTAGATACGGCCAGTTTTCCTATTTAAAAATTTATAAAATGATAAAATTTAGGGGGTGGTGGAAAAAATTTAAAAATTATTTTATATGTTATAAAAAATATTAGTAGTCTTGGATCCAAAGTCTTCAATATAGTATTTTCATGACCATTTAAAAATGCATTTTTGTGTTAAAATATACATTTAATGTTGATTTATCACTAATTGCAAGTTATGGATTAATGTATACAGGAAGGGTAAGATGTGTATCTTCAGGATTTCTTAGTCATTTCTTATCTTGGTCCCTAAGAAAAGATACTGTGAGACTGTGCCCAAGTTCAGCAATCACTGCAAACTGATGAACATTTACTGATGAACTCTCTAATGCATGTCTCAAACAAGGAATGTTCTAAAGTGTCATCAGTTATTTCTAATATATTTGAAAAGATGAAACAACCAGAGTACAAACAGTTCAGTGCCCCTGCTTTTACTTCTGCAGTATTTTATTAGGGATGCCTTATTAAGTCACATTTTTCTGCAGCTGTTTTGTTCATTGAAGATTCAAGTAAAAACAAGGAACTTTACTGTGCAATACAGTTTTGTTTTCTTGGTGAAAAATCACAACTTGTGGTAAAATAATCATCCAACCCGTCGTCCCCTTTGATCTATGTCTGACATTTACAAATGTAATTCATCAACCTGTTATTAGTAGGGCTCCATCAAAACAAAGAGAAGAAATGCATTAACACAGCCTGCTGCTGGATGTGAAGGTGAAACCAGCTGCATCAGCCTAATATCTGGCCACATGCTCCCACAAAATTTCACATGCGATATCTTGCTTTTGGACCACTGATTTTGTAATGCCATGTGATATGGTGAATTTGCCATTTTGTTTAAAAATTCTTTGGTTAACTTTATTTTGAACTACTTTGAGCATACTGAACTATTTTAATTATTCCATTGAAGAGAAGAAATAATTTCGCACTGAGTTATCATTAGTCTTTTTAGAAAAACAGTTTTACTTTAGGTTCGGAGCACAATCTGAAACAGGAGATTGACAGGTAAGCCTAGCAAACAGGGACCTAGAAGTTAATTCCTGTTTTTTAATTGTCATTGGCCACTGACTTATTGGGTAATTTTTAGAAGGTCTGATTTTGTTCATTCAGTGCAGTGATTCATTCAGTGCAGTGTCATTGTCAATTAAATAAACAACTCTTGTCTTCTACTTAATCTTACAGAAATTTTAAAAGGGTAAGTTAGATTTATTGGAACATGAAAATATTTAAATATATTTCTCTGAAATATCCAACTATATAATCTCTGTATCTATACATATATGCACATACATACATACATACATACATGTGCTTTCAATGGTACCCATCTAAGATACTGGTTTTATGTAATCAGTATTTTAGGTTACGTAAAACCAGTATCTTAGATGGGTGTCATTGAAAACCAGGGTGATCAGAACAACTTTGTAGAATGTCTGCATTTTTAGGTGCGTAGCTTTTCCACTGTTTTCCATGATTTGACCTGCAATACAACTATAGCCATAGTACGACAAGGTCATTTATAAATCAGTTTTACTGTTAATACATTTTATTTTTCTCATGGCTTTTTCTTTTGGAGATACTTTTATTTACTAGGCTACAAATACAAAAAAAAAATCATTTTGCCCTCAGTGTGGAGACACTTTGGCATGTGTTTATTGACACTACAACTGGGATTTTGACACATTTAGATGCTGAATATATCTGTGTGCTGTTTTTATTGAACAGACACCTCCATAGTCAAAGCACAAACTGTGCATTACGTTGGAGTATACTATTCTCATTTAAAATGATATCTACAAAATTGCCAAAAATATATTGATATTATACTCCAAATTTATGTTAGTTTTCCAAAATCCACCTGTTTCTAATGTGTATACCACATGGATATGTTGGATTTTATCCTGTGCTGTAATATTAGGCAAGCTAGTCAGTGGAATACTTGGGCAATTGATTGGTATTGCCATTGGAAAACATAAGGTTTCTAGTTCACTTGGAAATCAAATGAAAAGTAAATATATGGGCTATAAGAAGAATATTCCATTTTGTTCAGTGGTTCATGTGGAGGATGAGATATATAACTAAGGAATCAGAGCTTATATGTTTATATTAGACAAAGTCCTTTTAATCACTTCCTTCAATCTCCTAAGTTACTCCATAGTAGCTGTAATTGTTTTATGATTTCCCCTGAATGGCTAGTTAGCAAAGCTACATCTCCCTTTCCACAGCAATAGTACAAACATAGTCATTCAATTAAATTTATATTTATATTGCTTCTTTTATACTATAGCTTTATGCAGTAGATTTTGGAAACTCTTTACAGAGAGATTCAATAATGTGATAATGTTGCATTCCAGCAATTATGGTGATAGGCTGAATTTAGTGCTTTGACAAAATTAAGACAACCAGCTAAACAAGTCTCCTATGCTATGTAAAGCTAACTCTCCACATGAAGCCTGGGAAGCTCAAAGTAGTTTTTGATGAATGCAAAGTATGTTTTACTAAATACACACACACACACACAGACACACACACACACACACACACACACACACACACACACACACACATAT